TACGAGTAAGAAAGCAAGGAAAAAAAACCTGTGCCCTGAGGAGTATACAGAGCATTAAATGTCATACCAAACATTCGTCCTTAACAGTTCCTAACTTTGCTTTGAAAAATTAGAAAAAAAAAGTGAAATTTACCATATGCTTGAACTTTCTGTAGAGCAGAAAGTAATGCAGGGAAAAACGTAGGATCTTTGCTGGTCATCATCACAACGGCAAGAATAAAATCCTTCGGTGAAATCTGAGCCAACAAACCATCTAAACAACATATTTAAACAGTGTTTTTATAAATCTAATCGAAATTTATTTATAAATTTATAAATTTTTTCTATTCTTAATTTTCTTCATTTTCCTATTTTTTTATGTATAAATATTTTTTAATAAATCAAAAAACAGTGCTTTTACAGCTATAGCAGAATTATTAATAAATTATAAGCAGTACTAAAAGTAAACGTATAAATATGGAAACAATTATATCTCATCTAATGTGCTACTACACCTTATAATATTACATTTATATCCAATGTAGCATGACACTGATATAAGTAATCATGGCTAAACAATATAGCACTGTAAATCTTTTTTAAAACAAGATGATAAACATCACTCTTAATACTTTACACAACAATAATGGTTAACATAACAAAGTGTACCTAATGTAGTATCTAAATCTTGCGGTGCGATCAAACTATTACGCTCCTCAATCAGTTGTCTTTGCTGTTCTTTGACACCTTTCTCCCATTCATTGAACTCCTCCACATATTTGTTGTATGTTTCCGTACCGCACTGTGCTCTTAAAGTAAATTAATTACAATATCAAAAACAACTCATATTTTTCATTCGTAACTGGCGTTAGAATACTCTTTACGTCTTTTTCAAGTCATCGAATGTATAACTCACGGCATATCGCAAAAGTTAGAGCAATTCTGCATCAAAATATAATTATAAAATTGAAAAAGAAAAACTATTTCATAAACAGCAGCCACAGATTATAATGTTTCGTTAATTATTAGGACTGAGAAATATAAAAACTGATATTATTTAGTTGATGTAAAACGTACATATTGTTCAATTTCCATTTTTCGAACTTTTCTTTATGCTCTACGTATTGTTGTTCTAATCGTCCCAATGCAACTGTTATATGTGTAATCTGCAATAAAAACTATCTTCACCTGGAATACATTAAACAGTAATGCTATTACTCTATCAGAAAGATGGAAGATCGCCAAGAACACAAATACCTGTTAAGTGGAATAGTTAATTAAGTATTATTTTAAACGGTTATTATACATAAAATAATAAAAGAGATTAGTTTTGTAAAAAAAAATGTTGTATTTATATTTCGAGTTCCCCTTCGCCACAGAAGAATTTTTTGAATTTATCCAAGAAAAAACAACCATAATGTTTACACTGTGATAATTTATGATTTTTGATTGGTATCGCAGAAGCACAAGAAAATACCAAATATTGTGGTCTTTTTTCCAAAAGAATAATTCTTAATCTGAAGGAGTGCCCTAAATGATAAAGCTTTAACGGTTAAGGTTCGTTGCAAAAAAGATGAACAATTTGTGCAAAAACAAAATGTAAAACAAAATAGAAATGATAACCTTATCGGCCATCAAAATTCAAACTGGACTTTTCAAAGAAATGCGTACATGCGAAATCTGAAAATATGAATCGAATTCAAATTAATGCGTAACAATATTCAAATCAATGTTTGTTTAACGACAAATACATTTCAACGCTTTCGTTAACATATTCGTCACTTCAACGCATTTTCCTTCATGTTTCCTCTTTTACGAGAAGTAAGACTCTATATAGTGATACAAAGTTGAAGTTTGGGATAAATGAAGCTGAAGAAATATGTCAAACAAACCCGGTACATCACGACATTCAAAAAAAGAAAAGAGATATTTACAAACATTTAGATGATATCGCTGACGCTTTGCCTATATCATATTACGTGCAAAACGTCAATGAATTCAACAATATCTTCCTATAGAGTACGAACTCACGTAACTACAAACGCAACACGAATGCAACGTCAATAGTAGCAGAATACGCCGTTGCGGATGGTTTTGTCAAAAGTGAGGAACGATGCTTGGTTAATGTTGTTGACGTTAATGACGCCAACGCCGACAAATAACGTCAACGTCAGCAAACAAACAATAAATCTTGTTACAAATTGAAGGGAAACAAAGACAGACCTGTACTAACGTCACGTCTAATGCTAACACGTACGTAACGAGAACAACCACATGCTTACATAGCATCGACCTTCTCATTGGTCTGTTAATCTATCAATACGTAGCACAAGTCGCTGCTGATGGTTTTGTCAGTAATGGAAAGCGATGCTCGGTTGACATTATTTGCTAATGCTGTTGACGCGTTGGTATTGTTGACATTGTTGACATTGACGTTACTGAGAGGCCTTCCGTAATGCTACCGACCTTATCGAGAGAAAATTTCAGGTTAGCAGTAGTAGTTTCGGACAGCGTTATTGTTACATCTCCTAAGTGCATATTGTTTTGGGATGGTAATCGTTACGTTGCGTATTGTTTAGTCCTTAAATTGCCCTACTGTACTATTTCTTGAGAAATTTCGCTTTTCAGGAGCAGAATATGAGCATTGTATTGTAATAATGACTAGTTCCAGAAGATTGGTTTGATCTTTAAACTTTTCGCTCGAAGTCCTCGAAAAAGCAAGCAGTGAATGAATACGATGATCGAAATACTATCATATGCTATGCTTATCAGTGGTGCCATTACCTTCATGGCACTTATGTCAGGATTTAAAGCTACTTATGGACGATACTCTGAGCAGTCCCGTCAATCGGTCATTTTTTTAAGTAAGAGTAGTTGTAATGATGACAGACTAATTGCAATAACCCACATATAGTGGAAATCAGTGTAACTTTAGTAGCTGTTAATTGATTGGTCAGTTTGGAAAATAAATACGAAATGGACAAAGGACCAATTTGATTATAGCTAAGAGACCTTGGCATAGTATCAAAGTACTGGACGTTGAACACAAATTGTATTAAAGTGACCAAGGATAAATCATAAACTTGCAGTAATTGTCGGTCATGTCATAAATGTGGTGAAGCCACTATAATAATCTTACCGGTAGCAAAAACGTTCAACTCAGCTAAAAATGTCAATGCAGCAATTAAAGTGGAATTTTTGTCAAAAATTCGACGATATAAGAAGCTTGAAATACTTGAAGATTGCAGAATACAAGTTGATAAGGAATTTGAATATAAGAAACTTCAGAATAATTTCGGATATTACTGTAACTAAGGGAAGGCTTAAGAGTATTTATTGGTATTGCTGACTCTTAGATACTAAATTAAGATGAGAAGGCCGAATTTCTGAAACCAGAATGCAAAGCTATTGTAATCACAGCAAATATTTCGCTATCGAATGTACAGAGTAGACCTGAGGATTCTTAAATAAATGGTTAACTTGTTATCTTTTTATAAGGTAACGTTGGCCTTATATGATTATATTGAATTTCAAAATAATTGCACAGCTCTATGGTACTTAACATATAACAGTTATAACAGTTTACCCAGATCGAAAATATATTTGTAAAATATAACTTTTGCAGGTACCATTGATACCGACCAAATGTGCTTGGTTTATACAAGAATTACCGTCGTTATACATACCTCTTCACTACCTTGTTACTGGCATTACGGATCTACCTCTTATCAATGCATTTATCCTTATCTTATTCTGCCTCCATTACATCAACAGGTTTCTTACTTTGTTTTACTCTTTCAAAGATAATAATATTTGCTCACTGCTTCATTCCTTTTTTTCATTGAAAAAAAGAAATCCATATTCCCCTTCCTGTTCTTTATTAAGGCAAACTAAAATTCCATTTCGAATATTTCATTTATCACTGATATTTATCATTTTAAATATTTGTTCTGTGCTAAATTGGTTCCAGAGCTCTCATTTATCCATTCTTGATCAAACATGGTACAGGAACTCCTGTGCATATCTTCCTGTTAGGTCTTCTATTCTGCACAATTAATGGTTATGTACAAGGCAAATGGCATTCTCATAACGTTGTATATAACGAATCACTAAAGAATACCGTATTTTGCTTCATTGGTAGGTAAGCATTCAAAATTTTTGATCATTCCTAGCATCTATATTAAACATGGATATTATTATCCAAATCTTTCTCCTAATAGTGATATTTTGTAAGTATTTTTGCTCTTTGAGATATAACTTATGTTACATTCTCCGTAAATAATGATTCTCCGTAAATAGTAATGTTTGGTATATTTCACAAGACTATTATAATGATCCGGAACAGGCACTTTGATATTTATCATTGGAATGATGATTAATGTCACATCTGATTCAATATTACGAAATTTGCGAAAAGATGGGGAATCAGGCTATAAGATACCTTATGGTGGTTTGTTCAAATATATCTCTGGAGCAAATTTCTTTGGAGAATGTATCGAATGGACTGGTTTTGCCTTATTGGCACGCACGTTGCCTGCTTTTGCGTTCGCATTTTTCACATTATGCAACATTGCACCGCGTGCCTATCAGCATCACAGGTAATTTATTTTTTCGAATTAAATTTTTCAATTTGTGCAAGGGAATGTGAAGGAGGACCATTAATTAGTAAATCCTTTTACCAAGGAATATATGCGATCTGGTTTATTTCAGATGGTACCAGGAAAAGTTTGGCAACTATCCGAAGGATCGCAAGGCCTTTATACCATTCGTTATTTGAGTAATTTAAAAAAGAAATTTTTTTTTAAGACGAGGAGATTTAGGTTAGCAATTATGTATCGGAAAAATGGAAATTAATTTAAATGATCATTCATAGTCCCAAATGATACGTAAAAGGAAGTATCATACAGTAAGTGAAATATTTCAAAAGGCATGAGCATTGCTGGAAAGGATTCTAATATCATTTGTATGTATATACAGCACTGATGATATTTGGAAAAAAGTTATAAATAAAGTTCTGAACATTATACTCTTCCATCCATTTTAAAATGATGACATAAAACCGGAAGTCGAAGACGTATTTAAGCATTTGATATCAAAAATTCAAAGGAACGGAACTTCCTATTACTACTAATACGGGTTGTAGGGAAAAATTCGTGGAACATAAGTTTAGTCAAAAGAAACATAACTACATACATAAAAGATAAATAATACGGTATCTATGAGCTGACCGTAAATTTTCAAATGTATTTATAATAATGTCACCTCTCACTTACTGTAGTGCGAAAGTTAAAATGCTAACCCCAAATAATTTTAACTTTGAAGTGATTTCAATTACACCTGATTTTTCATTAGAATAATTCTGCTGTAAAATATTGAAGTGGTGAATAATTGGCAGCTATAGAGCTATCGAGGACGGAAAATTCTGGAAAATATACCAGTTTTCTTGCCATTTTTCCTTGAATCTTTTATCATTTGCATGGCTTCATTCTCCGCTTCCTCAGCTTCCAGTATAACCTTGAAATAAGAGGTAGGTTCCAGTAACGATTTACCACTTCCTTTAAAAAAAAATAAAAATAAACAACAAGGGCTGCAATTCATCAATAAAAAGACTGCACCTACCCTCTGCAATTCACCACAATCGATTTCGGCTTCGTCGTCCGAATTTTCGCTTTTGGAACTAGACTCAGAAGAAGACGCCCCATTATCCATTCTTCTCTTCCAGAACTTGCTCAGTTCATCATTTATTTTTTCTGATTTCATGTTACTTTGACTGGCTAAATAAAGATTGTAATCAATCAAGAATAAATTTGAAGATGTAATACAGAACGGAATTCCGATTGATCACAATGATGCAACAACATGTCATGGAAATGATCTGTCCTTCAATGCCAAACGAATTAAAAAGTACAGTTTGTCTGGTCAAGCTCGAACACTAAAGCTTATAGTTTCACTGGACTAGACCTGTAATATTATAATGTATTTACATTCTACAGGAACAGCATATTTGATAAAATTAAGTAAAACTTAATGAAATAATGGAATTTGTATTTTTTAATGCTTTATTTCCATACTTAATGTCATTAGCTTCTTAATTTCATTGTCCATCGAATGGTTATCATTGCCTATGCCTGTCAGCTTAGCTGCCTTCACACTTCGTTGCTTAGCCAATTTCATCGTTTGTTGTATCTCTTTCAAATTCCGAATTGTATCCTGACCCATTATATCTATATCTGATAAAGGTAGTTCTCCGCTTAACTCTATAAAAACCATTAATTCAGCGATTACTTCTCAATACTAATGTTTTACTTGGTAATATTTATGTTCAAAATTAAGATATTTACCAATGCAAAATTAAGATGCTTCTCCTCAGTTAGAGGTCCACCAAACGTATGACCTTTCTAGAACGTAGCAATGAAATGAAATTCTGCCGAAACAATCCTTGTGTTACTTATCAAGTAAATATTTGTTACCAGTTGTTTTCACTAAAGTTCGAAGATCGAATTTTAATATGGAATAAGATTTCAAGGGAATGTCAATTAATTACTTAATCGAAAATACCATATTTCCACAAAGTAACTACTTCAGGACTTGATTACTACATAAACAAACAATACATTTTCTATAAAAGAATTATGGGAATGAATTTTTTGTTTTAACAAATGAAATAAAACTGATAGTTACAAAGAAACATACCATCTGGAACAGAGGCATTACTTGTGCACATTTTAATGAATTCTTCTGAATTAACATCATGTTCGTCATCCAATTTATCAGAACGATCCAACTTTTTCTCTAACATGATTTCATCTTTTGCTCGTCTCATCAATTTTTCAACTGTTTCTTCTTCAACTTCATTTCTGTACACAGTAGCAAACTGAAAATCGATTAATATTACAACAGAAAAGTCGTAAATAAATGAGACTTTGTTAACGCATAATTTAATGTGCCGAAATGGCAACCGTGTAACATATATCGTCTCAAATTGGACTGGAACTTTAAATTGGTGCCGTGATGAATTGCTAACATACCCTCGGATATCTGATATCCTCCACTGGTAGACCACGAAGATTTGCCAGTCGCTGTTCTATATCACTCATTGAAGAGGTATGCTGACCTTAAAACAGATGTAATCCTGATTAAGAAAAAGAAGATATAAAAAACTAAACAGCATTAATGCAAGTACTTATAAGAATATACAGCACGAACAAAATCACTTGAGAGAATATACAGTACTAACAGAAGTACTTACAAGAATATACAGTACTGTCGCAATACCACTTATCAAATTTTTTTTTTCTCAGAAAAACGTGAACAGAACAGAAAAGGCAGAAAGCAAAAACAACAATTAACTGATTACTCCAAATCACTTATTGATGTGGAAATCTATGAAAAAAATTCTTAAAAATCAGGGTGGAATTCAAATTTAAATGCTAACTCTCATCATTTATCTTCAGCATTTTCGCCCGCTCCTCTAATGATGATAACGTTTCCACTTGCTTTTTACTCGTATCCATATTTAAATTTTTCAAACGTTGCTCCAAAACTTTATCCTTTTCTTCTGGTTGACGATTTTGCGGTGAAAATTGTGGTGAACAATATGATAAAGGAGTAAAGTGTCGCACAAGGTTATATTTCTGCCGCATAGATGGCGGTGGCAAATCACCATCAATCCACCATTCGTTGTTACTCATTGAAGAATTTTACAATACAAAATCAAGCGCAAAAATAGCCTGAAAATATCATCATTATAATGCAACGACATGAGATGCAATACGTCGACCCAGTAAATGAAACGTGATAATATAACATTAATTGACTTGGAAGTTCTCTCAAACATCACCAATGACAAACTTATAATAAATTCATGCAAGCCTTCACTATGTTCAAGAAAAATAACAATGATTTCACCGCAAACTGCGAAAATTAGCTTACGTGAAGTTTATCAAACATGAATCATCACAACTCTTTGCATTAACTTCTGCTAGCCAAAAATTGACTATTGGCTGCTAACCCCATTTTCCTTACAGTGATTCTTAGATCCTTTGAAATACACCCATTTAGTCAGTGTCTCCCAACAAATAATCTTCATTCTCACCCATTATCAAACGAGAAAAATCATCACTTAGCTTCTTTTGCCTCTTTCTTCAATTCAGCTAGCCCTTGCACCGAAGCCAAGAAGCGTGATCGGTTAGTTAAGCTTTAGTTATCCATGATTTGTGTTAGTTTGAACTGAATTTGAGCCAAACTACCCCATGTATTCGTGGCCAATAACCTATTATGATCGTAATTGGGAACAGAAGCCATGAAATGACTCCAATCAAATTTCCAACCTTCACCCATCACAGATGCTTGCACAGCTCGATGCCATTGAGGGAGTAGTGAATTGTTTCCGGCGCGCTGAGGTTCGATTTGCCATAAAATCATTTTGGCACAAATATCACTGGAGGTTAAACAAGTTAGTTGTACTATGTGAATGCACGTTTAATTACATTTTTTTAATATCAAGAATTGGTACTGGCTAATAAATGTAATAAATGTATGGAAAAAGATATCATCCATTCAAGATGATAACGATCTAGTAATAACCAGAACATCAGACCTTCATCCCGTCATATATTTCCTAATAATACTACTCCAATCATCAGCAAAGAAGAAAGCACAACTTGTTTTCTAAACTAGCATTTTTAGACTAGCATTTTTAGGATCACCTGAAATGGTTAAAATATCGAAAAGATGAGGAACGCATACGAATGAATTGTACTGACACGTCGGGAAATCGTCTGATGAGAAATATCTGATGACTTTTCATCTTAAGAAAAGGATTGTATATGTTGCGAAATCTCGGCGGCAAATAATATTTATTCTACAACACGATTAATTATGACACGAAAAAGCTTCGATATTCAAAAACCAAAGTCATACAAACATTGCTCAACGACAGCACGATCAGCACCCTTTATTCGAATGAATCCTTTTAGTTCATCAACGTGCGTTGCAATTGGATGATGCAAATATTGTTCCAAGTATTCTCGCATTTTCCTTTCACATTCCTTAACATGAATCTTGTTTTTTAATCTTGTTTTTTAGTAACAAAGAAATAAGTAATATTCCAGAAGTTTCACAGAAGTCTATTTCATTGGAAAAATTATAAAATAAACAGTGACGCGTAATAAAATGTATATGATATCCACATAGTTTTTAGGAATTTATTTACTAGTTGACTTTCTTGAAAAAATACAACCTCTCAAATCTCACTAAGCGATTCAGATATAACAAACCGATCTAATATATCATAATTGAAGCAATTCACTGAACTTAGTAAAGCTAGTCACGTGTTAGGCAATGAAGATTTCCTATTGACAATAAATTCAAATGGGACCGCTCCCAGAGGCTCATTATCACAACTACTAACTGTTTGAAGAATTGGAAAGAAAAAGGAACGTAGAACATACGAATATATCGCCATGAATTTTTTTCACCAGTACCAACTCAACATATTCAAATTCCAATGTCTTTGGATCTAACTGATCCCTTCTTGTTTCCAAATAAAGTGGTAACAAGTGGTCACGATTTCGTTCCACGTAAAATGTTAGGTCTGGCCGAGCTAAAAATAGAGAAACATTCTCTACGAATGACTTTCGTGAAATAACAATTCTAGAAACCAGTTAAGCAAGACTGATTTCGTAAAATTGTTTGCAGAAATAGTAAGCAGAAAAAGAAACAAAGTCATACGTTTTGGCGGTCTCCAACCACTAGGTGTTGGATAAGTATCATGTTTCGGTACATCAGGAATCAATTTCTTTGGCATGAGCCTTTGTACATACTTCCAATCAACTGCAATCTCAACTGCTCTACTTCGCGTATGCTCTAAAATAATTGTCCATACATTTAGAATACGATAACAATGTGGTAAAAAAAAACAGAAAATTAGTACAGCTAAAAAATGTATAGATTATGCTGCGAAGGATAACTCTAAAAGGAATAATGAAATAGAACGAAAAGTCTCAAAAGAATTTAACAGCTGGAAGTTTTAAACTAAAAAGAAAAAAACAACTTTTCGTTATAATTACAAAGCAAACGATATTCTCTATCAAATGCTTACTGTTCTTAAATCAAACCTATCTATTGTTTTGTGAAAGCATTAAATTAATGCTATGGTCATCGAGTAATTGAAAATAAAAATTGACACCTGTTTTACGCATAGCAGCTTGCCACGGGTCATCCCAAACTTCGCCATTTGATGTCGTGGCATTTTCTCCACTCATAATTTTTCGGCAATGACATTTCGTCATTTCCACAGCATTTCTGATCCGTTTCAATGAATGTCGTAACATTAAGCGCTCTTAAATAGCCACATGGAGCAGAAGTCAACTTCGTTAATTAGGAATTCACACATCATCTTACTTATTCTCCGAGTTTCCCTGGCGTTCACACAATAAGTTTCTTAACTATTAACATCATAAAAATTGTCTCTATCCACACCTATCCAGCAGCTCTGCAGGAATAGTTTTAAAAAACAGAGATATATAATTTCAGAAGTTTCGGAAAAACATGTCCCAAAAAAAAAAAACCATAATCGAAGTTAGGAAATGTATACCACGAACTTCAAACCCTCGGGTAGATTACTAATTTAGTATTAAGATCTTATCATATCATACATAACATATATTATAGATTTTAGGATCACAGACCTTACAGCATCATAAAATATGATATTAAAGAACACATAAACATACCAAAGAAATACACACTTTAGTAACCAGAGATTATGAATAAACCTACTTGAATAATTAATCGTCTAGGACTACGGTCACAGAATAAATTCGTCAAAAAGTAGAAATGATTACAGAATTGATTAAAGCAAACATGAAAGTTCCAATATTAGGTTCTAGTAAAAAGTTCCGGTACTAGCTTTTTAATGTGTTTTAACGTATTAAAAGGAAACTGGCACGCCTATGAGAACAGTGCAACCTCAATTATGGACATATCAAATGATTTATTAAATTTAAAGTAATTCATGTTTCAAATTAAATTTCATTAAACATCAATTTACAAATAACAAGTTACGATTTTTTTCTTTATCAAATAATATGAAAACCATTGAATGACAACAAAAATTTTTCACCTGTAAGCATCAACACCGGTACTAACACTATTATTTATATTCCCTATCGAAAATGTTCGCCGAAAAGATATAAAAATCTTAAAATAAAACACAATTGAAGCAAATATTAAAATTCCAGCAACTAAGGGAACCAGGAAAGGAATCCAGTTGAAGTGAGATTAACTTATAAAACTTTTTTTTTCACATTTGTTCTTTTTATTTTCTTATTTGCTTTATTCAATTTAATTCAACTGACAAACAGAAATGAAAGACTAATTAATTTGCATTGAAGTGTAAAACGAAGACAAAAGGATAAAATTAATCAGGTCTGGTGAACTAACAAAGCCCCATCTCTATATACGGGCAAAGCAGGTGTGACAGGTGCTGCTGGTGAGATCGGTGGCATTATATTGACAATTACTTCCGGTTCTGATTGAATGTTACTTGTCATAAGATGGCGTCGAGCTACAGCAGCACTTCGACGTGCTATCGCTGAACATAAAGCACTGAAACGCCCTGTTCGCTGATATTCGAACCATGACTGTGTTTGTTCTCTGGAATCAGTAGTGATACAAAAGGAATATTAAAACAAAGAAACTGAACATTTAATTCTACTTACGACATATACCGGAAGTAATTCGCAATTATATTTCACTCAAATAACTGAAATATACGGGGAAAAAATAGGTGGAGGGAGAGAATCCTAACATTTATAATATGCTGCCATTTAATCTTCCTATACATCCAAAAGTTTACATGTAATTTTCTAAAATCTCCATTTAAAATTTGAGCCTTCATTTCTGTAAAGCACTACTTTGAAACTTGAAGTTTCATAGAAAAAGGGATAGCAAAGTTTAGACTTTCTAAAGTAGCTATCTCTATAATTACTCGAGAATCTTAAAAAAACAAGCCTATTTTGCAATTAAATAAATGTAATTGTCAAAATAATGTAAATTACATTAGCAAAGTGTGTCGCACAAAATTATTTCATGCTTTTAATGTAAAGCATCATGTTTTCATGCCAGGTATCAATCAGCTATCACTTAGTCCTGCTCGGTACACTAGAGGAATAAAGATGGGTATAAAATAATGAAGAAATACGGAAGCAACTTACTGCGCAGATTGCGCAATCAAATCCCTTTTATTGATTATATCTCCATAGACAGCATGACCTGCCAGTTCCACCCCTGTCTTTTCTGTGAGTACTGCAATTTCGTTGAACATGGTATTCATAAGTCCGGTAAATTCAGAAGCACTCTGAAATATTTCAATTATTCATTTAAGACATCCCAAATATGTGGGTGACTACACTGTTGGAGATCGATCTCATACCAGGCGACAAACCTGGTTTCATTCACTTTACGATTCGACTAGTCAGAATGGACCACTAATCAGAATGAACCACCTGAAGTTGCCTAATCAACAACAGACAACGTAATGATTAAAATTCGAGAAACATTGTAATATACAAATGAATGAATATTTTTAATACAAAATTCATTTGGATTCCACCAATGTAATACTTGAGCTCGCATTTTCTCTACAAGATGGGTAATTCTGGAGCTAATACTATTAATCAAAGCTATACGCATATCATCATTCGTTTCCAATCGATCTGTGGCCTTGTTTTTAATTAAATTCTACTAATTCATTTTGCTAATGAAATTGCTTTTTTATACCAGAACTCTTAAGAAAAGCAAAAAATCCTTCATGAGAACAGTATAAAATAACACAAGGGTATTCCCTGAAGTGTACTACGTGAAATTGCTTTTTACACCAGAACTTTTATTACAGCATTATAGGGTGAAGTAATAAGAGGGAGGAAGGGGAAGAGACAGAGAGAGAGAGGGAGAGAATCGACCACACCGCATAAAATTAAAGCAAGGAAGAAAATAAAAGTTAACAATGTGGTCAAAGGGATTTCGGTACTTAAACTACAATTTTCGGTACTTATACTACAATATTACAATCCGAATAAACCTTTATCGTCGAAAAAGCGAGTCAAAACATAATTTGAAAAAAACAAAAAAGAAACAGCCCTTCCTATTTCCTATTCACCTCGTGAACCATACTTTAGTCCTCGCGGATCACCATTTGGGAACCACTATCGTTGTAGGAAATCACAATTTTTAACTGAACTTAGCGGAAAAATCTAAGACTCTACTTATGAATCAATATCACCAATTGTAGAAATAATAATATATTATTGAAGGTTGTCGCAACCCATTAAAATATTACTGTTATATGTCTACTTTATAACTCATGAATACAAAATAATTTGTATAACTTTATCTACCTACTGATGATTATAACGAATATGGTTGTCAGGTAGTCCTCCATCTAGTAAGCCCAACCATTAGTTCAATTTTCTCAGTTCGATTTATGCTTTTCTCTAAAAGTGAATTATACCGAGAAAACTGATGTTTCGAACAAACTAAGCAAGTTATTTTTTTTAATAAACACTTTTTTTTAATTTTAATAGATCCCGAAAAGCTCACATAACTTAAATCAACATGAAATTGCTATATAAAACGTTTTTATACATGATATACATTCAGCAACAAACCCGCATGTAAATTCCATGTAATCGTCGGGCATGCTCTAATTTAATCTCAATATCCTTTTTTGATATAAACCCATTGGTATCTAGCGCTGTTTCTAGAGCACTAAACTGTGTGTACTGTTCATCCAGCAGCTGAAATAGTGATGTTACACGTACAATCTTTTTTTTACTAAACATTTTTCTTATCGAATGTGATTTATTCCATAATAAAAATAAGTGTTGTCTTATTATATTTTCGTACAAAATTTCTTTTTCCATGCATCAATATTTAGCAAAAAAAAAAAACCAGTACTTGTAAAACAAAGGTTATGCATATTTTTTGTCTCTTTTTTTAATATAAAAGAAAGAAAAACGAAAAAAAAGCAACGATCGTAATTTACAGCTTACACTCAAAACAAACCTTAAACAAATTAATCACCACAAAACTGAAGCGATCACTCGCCAATTTTTTACATTCTTGCAGAAACTGGACAGTTTCATTGATCATTTCTTTTAGTGTCTGCTGAGCTGTTTTAACTCGTTCGTTTGATTCGCCATATTTTGATACAGCATGACCCATCTTAGCATGCCCATTTATTACACATAAACCGCAACGTACACGCTGAACAATTTAATTTAAAAGATATAAGTAAATAGAAAATAACTTACCTTACTTTTTCCCAGATCTCTATTATAATTATCGTCGACACTTGTGAAAGGACTATTGCCGAGATGTTGCAGTCATATTATTTATATATCGCTCGAATACACATGAATTTTTTTTTGCACATTTCTTTTAAGTTTATGACTTTATCAAAAGTACCATGCTAATTATGACAAAATTTTAATTGCAAAACTCTGCCATAAAACATTGATTAGTTTACCTAACATGGGTTCCAGTGTTTTATTTAATAATTTTTCTGTTCTACGGCCTTATCTTCTTCATAACAAAAAAAAAAAACTTTTAAGATATAAAGATTATCATCTCCACTAATTGATCTTGCACAAAGCATACAAAGTAAACATCTTTCCCTTAATAGAGAGGATGGTACCTCTATTCTATCAGTATGATCACAGTCATCACAACAATATTGATCCTCTGGTTTTACAGCATGCGAGCACTGATGACAACATTTAACCATAGCGTCTCTTTCTTTTATCCGAGATATAAGGCCTAGAAAATCTTATTTTAACAAAATTAGCATGTTATACACCCCTCAACTCAGTACTCTGTGACAAGCTGTAAATGGCTGGCTCTTCTACCATATCTCGTAGCTTCATGCCTGACCCTACCTTATGCCAAGTGAAAGCTCAATGGCTAATTTCTTCCATTTTAGTCTCTTCTTCAAATTTTCTCTTCCCTCCGAATCTTAGACGAGCAGTTTAAAACTAAGCGTATGCTAAAAGGAAAAAAAAATGTTATCAGGCTATCTTTCCAGCAATTATCTCACTTTAGGCAGCTTTGGACATAAGAAGTAAAATAAAAAGAAGACTTTATAAAAAGCGCTAACTCTTTAAGGAATAATTGACGACGGGTGGACTAGTAAAATGCGCACGACATAAGGGACAACTATATTTTTGTTCCACTTCATTACACAGTCGATCGATACAAGTCTTACAAAATGAATGACCACACTGTAGCTGTTTTGGTTCATCAAATACCTTCAAGATTTGTAAAAATTTGAATATACGCAAATACAAGTGCTAAAATAAAACATGATCCTGCTAATCTATTCCAACTTTATTCGACCTATGAAGATCCACCACATATTAAGTTCGATTATCCTGCCAGCGCTCATTGCTTAGTGTGATATATGCATAATTCCAATACGAAATATATACGTATATATATATGTATATATATGTATATATATATATATATATATATATATATATATATATATATATATATATATATATATATATATA